CAGTTATGTGATAAGAAATGTTGATAGAATACAATACAGTTTGAAGAAAGTAACAACGTAACCTCAGTTATGTGATAAGTAATGTTTATAGAATACAATACAGTTTGAAGAAAGTAACCTCAGTTATGTGATAAGAAATGTTAATAGAATACAATACAGTTTGAAGAAAGTAACAACGTAACCTCGTTATGTGGTAAGAAATGTTGATAGAATACAATACAGTTTGAAGAAAGTAACAACGTAACATCAGTTATGTGATAAGAAATGTTGATAGAATACAATACAGTTTGAAGAAAGTAACAACGTAACCTCAGTTATGTGATAAGTAATGTTGATAGAATACAATACAGTTTGAAGAAAGTAACAACGTAACCTCAGTTATGTGATAAGAAATGTTGATAGAATATAATACAGTTTGAAGAAAGTAAATTGTATTCTATCAACATTTCTTATCACATAACTGAGGTTACGTTGTTACTTTCTTCAAACTGTATTGTATTCTATCAACATTTCTTATCACATAACTGAGGTTACGTTGTTACTTTCTTCAAACTGTATTGTATTCTATCAACATTTCTTATCACATAACTGAGGTTACGTTGTTACTTTCTTCACACTGTATTGTATTCTATCAACATTTCTTATCACATAACTGAGGTTACGTTGTACAGTTTGAAGAAAGTAACAACGTAACCTCAGTTATGTGATAAGAAATGTTTCAAGTAGGCTTAAATCTCACCTATTTTACATGTTTCTTTAAATCTCACCTATTTGACGTGTTTCTATAAATCTAACTTATTACGTTGACAAAGAATAGATAGAACACAATATAATTATCGACACGAGAGGCTCGTGCTCAGCGGGTGCTGCTTCAGTTCTATATTTTCAATTGGATTAACCGTTATTGTGTTGTTTAGTATAACACTCTACCGATATTAACCGTTATTGTGTTGTTTAGTATAACACTCTACCGATATTAACCGTTATTGTGTTGTTAAGTATAACACTGTACCGATATCAACCGTTATTATATTGTTTAGTATAACACTGTACCGATATCAAACGTTATTGTGTTGTTAAGTATAACACTGTACCGATATTAACCGTTATTGTGTTGTTTAGTATAACACTGTACCGATATTAACCGTTATTGTGTTGTTTATTATAACACTTTACCGATATTAACCGTTATTGTGTTGTTAAGTATAACACTGTACCGATATCAACCGTTATTATATTGTTTAGTATAACACTGTACCGATATCAAACGTTATTGTGTTGTTAAGTATAACACTGTACCGATATTAACCGTTATTGTGTTGTTTAGTATAACACTGTACCGATATTAACCGTTATTGTGTTGTTTATTATAACACTACCGATATTAACTGTTATTGTGTTGTTTAGTATAATACTGTACCGATATTAAACGTTATTGTGTTGTTTAGTATAATACTGTACCGATATTAACCGTTATTGTGTTGTTAAGTATAACACTGTACCGATATTAACCGTTATTGTGTTGTTAAGTATAACACTGTACCGATATTAACCGTTATTGTGTTGTTAAGTATAACACTGTACCGATATTAACCGTTATTGTGTTGTTTAGTATAACACTGTACCGATATTAACCGTTATTATGTTGTTTATTATAACACTGTACCGATATTAACCGTTATTATGTTGTTTATTATAACACTGTACCGATATTAACCGTTATTATGTTGTTTATTATAACACTGTGCCGATATTAACCGTTATTGTGTTGTTTAGTATAATACTGTACCGATATTAACAGTTATTGTGTTGTTAAGTATAACACTGTACCGATATTAACCGTTATTGTGTTGTTAAGTATAACACTGTACCGATATTAACCGTTATTGTGTTGTTAAGTATAACACTGTACCGATATTAACCGTTATTGTGTTGTTAAGTATAACACTGTACCGATATTAACCGTTATTGTGTTGTTAAGTATAACACTGTACCATTATCACGTATAGCTCTGTTCCGTTATCACGTATAGCTCTGTACCGTTATCATGTATATTTCCGTAACACTGTACCATTATCATGTATAGAGACAGTGAGAAGGAATAGTTACAATCTAGGTATAATACAACTTTTCTGGGTAACCATGAGTTTTAGGGTATCGATTAAAACAAGTGAGAAATACACAGATTGAAAACAACACCAGAAGTAATAAGTTTACAAACTTAATAACGTAACGTTTTAAGAGGCGTTCTTTAAGTATGAACTGTGAATCGGTAGAATAGCCGAACGTTTAGAACCTTGGGATTGTACATGTTGCTTTATATAAGTTATATCTTTGTTATTAAACTAACTGCTGAAAGTAATTACTGTCCGTTGGTTTGTCCAGCTATTTGCTGAAAGTAATTACTGTCCGTTGGTTTGTCCAGCTATTTGCT